CTTTTAGGGCCGCCGCTAACTGCTCAGGCCCATATTTGCGCAGGCGGCGCGGTCCTTCGACTTTTTTGTAGACTCGGACCATGAGCGGCTTCACCCCGTGAAAAATAATTTTTTTCTTAAGGACACGTCCAGGACCAAGCCCGGTAGAGTCTCAAGATCGTCGAAGCATCGAGAGAATCTCAAGACATTAGACTTGAAATCATCGAGATCAAAAGTTTGAGGGGGTCCTCGCGTTCGGAAATACAGGTCCAAGTTTCCGAGATTTACGGAGTAGGCGAAAAACAATATTCTGTAAAACATTGATAGAAATTTTCTTACTTCAATTAGACTGTCAAAAACTGCTTTGTTGCAATGCCCGAGGATCACGCACGTAATCGCTCGGAAGGAATCATTAACATCATCGTCGTTCTGGAGATAAAGACGTTCGAGCGCTGCGTGGCCGATAGGATCGGCTTCGCCCCGTGTACTCAGCTTCGCCCCCGTTGACCGTATACACATGGTTTTCTGCCCCCGATGGACAAGGCTTTGGTGAATCTCCTGATGAGCTACGTAGTTAATACAGCGGTCGAAGACTGGGATCGGTCGAGTCTCGCATGCACACTGGAATCCTTCTCCGAGTTACAATCCGACAACCCGAAAAACCCACTGAAATCAATGTCCATTGAGACAGCAAACCTGAGGTTTCGGCAAATCGTGAAAAATTTCGCACAAACAGGAGTGCTAATCAATTACGAGGCGAAACACGACAAGGAAAACAGGTCAAAGCTTTGGCTCTGTCTTCAAAAGATTGCAATAGTTGACACGAACGAACCATGCCTAATTATCAATGAGGAGGAGCTTGCCAAACAACGACGCGGGAGGAAGATGACCGACCGCAAGAGGGTTCGGAGTTCGGAGCCCTTCCGATGAAGGACCGCATTCCCAGTCGCCGCCAAAGCAGTCCACCATGCCCGACGAGGAAAGAGACGTTTCCGCGGAGACTCCGACATGTTCGGACGATCGATCGAGCGGGATGGCAGACGCTGCGAAGTTCAGAGATCTGCAGTCACAGATTGTGTCGAGGATGGCATCAATGCCGGACGAGAAAATTCCCCAGGCTTCAAACGAAGCACTGCAGTTCCTCAAAAAACTAGTGGCACTGAACGAATTCGATGTCATGGATGCCCTACCATGCAAGATTGAAACACGGGTCGCCGGGAAAGGCCCCGTCTTCCTCATAAATGTAGCACGGTGGAGCAATACGGAGGCCGACCATCTTGACGGGGCGAGCCGCGATAGTCGAATCCCGGTTCCGGAGCGTAGTAGTAGTATGGAGTAGCGACGGCTCCATGCTCTGTGTATGGAAGTTCCCTGATTCCTGAATTTGATGACGGACGAACAGCGTCTCCCGCTCCCAGTTTTCGGAGGATTTTCGACCTTCAATCTTGCCACGGCTGCGTAGTTTTCCGAGCATTCTGATATTCATGTGTCATTTCATGTTTCAGATTCCAGAATTCAACATGGATTACGGTCAACTGGGGTGAAGCCGATCAGTTTTCGTAGCTTATCGCATCTAAGTATAGCAAGATCTTCGTCGGAGGCAGGAGCGATTTTCAGTGAGGAATCCACGGCTCCCCACCGACTACTGGACGAAAAGAACAGGATTCCATTTTCCACTAACAACTTCTCCCTCGCACCTGAAAAATTATTGGCTCCGCCCCGTCTTCGGGACGAAGCCGATCAAGCATTGACTGCTGCGGAAATCGCTGGAAGGGAAGCGTTCCCTGTGCTACTGGCTCACTATCTACCCGAGACAGACTGTTTCTCATCGATTGTATCTTCTTAGATTCGAAGACGATCGTCGTCGAGATCAAAGAAAGAAAGGTTTTTATTGGAAGAAAAATTAGAATTTGGATTTTGGGCCAAATTACAGGGAATAGTCCGCAGTATTCAAATCCTCGAATATGATGCGATTTCTTTTGTTAGAGCGAACTCTCAGACGTCTTAAAACCTCTTCTGTTCCCACATCAATGACATCAGGGATGAGGGGGAAGACGAAATGATCTTGTTTAATACTCTTCCTGGATCGCAAGGAGCTTACTGAGTACACGCCTCCCGCGACGACGGCGATGACCTTGCCCACGAAGAATCTCTCTCGCTTATGGGTTTCGGTCAGACATTTACAAAGAACGTGGTCGCCTTCCACGATCTCCAGCGGTGCCGGCTCTTCAACTTCGATCGAATTAGGACCAGCATGCTCGGACATGACTTCTAGGCCCTCAGAGCGTACCGGAGCTTGGTGTAGATCTTTGGCCGCGATGTCCGTTCCCGGATTCGAACTCACCCGCTT